AAGTATCAAGAAAATAACACGCAATTATGTATATTCTTTTCTCCGTCTCTTTTAGCTTTCTCGTCTAGTTTTATACTTTTTGTAACAGTTACTTTTCCAGGTAAAAGTCCATACTTTTCGGTTGCCTGTATAAAATAAAAAGTAATATTTATAAGCTTATTTGAATAAAAATTAGATGATAATAAGATTACATAATATATAACAATTAAAGGCTTTTGTGCACTTCTATTCGGTTAGCATCCAATGTTTAATCTATTAATTCTATATAAAAATATATTTATTCTAACTTACCGAAAAAAAAGATTGATTGATTGATTTGCAAATATTTCGTGCATGTTCAGGACAATTATAAAAAGGAACCGGTAAAAAAGAAGCAGAAGATACAATTTGAAAAGTAGACAATCAAAATTCATAAGTCAAAGAAAAACGTACAATATCATGACAAAAAACAACGACATTAACAAGTGGTACAATGTATACAATATCCCAATTATTGTCACGTTAACCAATTATCATGATTATGTCTGTTTGAGTTGCTCAACCAATTTTATCAATATAACGGAACTATAAATAACTGTTGTACAAGTGGGAGGTTAAGCTAGCTATAAAACCATGTTTAGTCCGCCATTTTCCAAAGAAAATGGCTGTATCAAGTCTGGAATATGACAGTTAATTTTATTGAATTTCGTTCTGTTGGTTGAAATAGTCGAGTGTTTGATGTTGTCAGGTTTTATGGACTCCGGTATTTTTGTTAATACTTTTTTTTAAATATAAAGCTGAACGAACGACACATTAAACGAGGGAAGGATTGGACACGTGATTTCCCAAAAAGACCAGGATGTAAGTTCAAAACTTCCCCTTCTTAAAAACGACAAAATAGCATTTAAATTTAACAATTTTGATAATTTTGGTTCAAAGATTCCAATCGTTGTTTAGTATTTATATACCATGATAATTTCCAATATGATACTGATACTTAAACTTAGGATAGAGGATTGATTGATTAGAATTTAACACCTCTTTCAGCACAGTTGGCGAACGCGTAGCCGTCAGTTTTTATTGGTGGGGGAAAGCAGAGAACCATCGACCTGCAGCAGGAAAACTGTCAATCTAAGTCACTTAAGATTAGAGTCGATTGCACCTGACACTCGTCTATGATAAAGGAAATAACTGTTAAAATTACTTTTACATGTACGTGTGTGTCAACCTATTTTCATAGATATATTCTACGTTTTCTAAACAACAGAGATTATTTTTTATTCTGTTTCACACAATTGCTTAAGAAACATTGACGAAACTGACTGTTACACAAGTTTGACCTTTCTAAAAAAGATTGTTGTGTTTGGCAGTTTCAATATTTACGTCAACTTTTGTGTAAGCGTGACTTATAAAGGCAAACGACAGTTTTATTTTTTCTTTTTATTTTCGTATCTTTTTATTTGGATTTCAGTTTTACTAGTAAAATAACACAAAGTGCGACCTAACAGGGAACAGAGCGCCATCCATTCTGAAAGTCACGAATGAAGGACTGTGAACATAATATAATTGACAACAAAAACTATTCATTTGGCCAAAAAGTTTGTAATCGGATCTCCTTCGTTAGACTGACACGATACTGTTAATTCTGAAATATTTTTAGCCCTTTTTAATGAAATAAATTGATGCTCGACTTATCAATTGATTCCAACGATTTTACTGTCATATAATCATTATTTACTGTACATAGCGAGAGTTACACACAAATTTAATCTTTAAATTTTAAATATACCAGCCAAGTATTCAGCACTTTGATCTGTGTTGACTTGAAACATCATTAAAATTGTCAAATTTATATAAAGTAAGTGTTAACAAAACTTGAATTGTTCGAAATACTAAAGATTTTCTACCCCAGGCATATATTGCTGTATTTGGCAAAACCTGTAGGAATCTTTGGTCCTTTAATTAATGCTCTTCAACTCCGTACTTTATTTGACATTTTAAATTGTTTATTAGAGCGTCACTGGCAGTGGCGTAGCTTGGCCATTTTTAAGTGTACGCCCGAACCTTGGCGAGGGGCGTGAGTGCCACCAGCAGGTTTAGGTCAGAGGACTTCCTGGTAAGAGGTTCGTTGGGTGTGAAGCACCAGGAAGCTCACTCGTTATTGAGAAAGAAATATTATTTTAAATAAATTTGTCATAAAAACTCATCAATAGTAACATACTTTAGAGTCTAATTTGTTAATTTATCAGTTATTGTGTTCATTTGGAATCTAATGGTCATAGATTTCAGAGAAAAATGTCCAAACCAGTCACTTTATAATATGTTTAAAGGGAGATGTGGGATTAAACACAAGCAATCGACAAAAATCCCAAAAAGCAAAGAGTTTCCATTTCAATGTTGTCATATATTAATTATTTTAACGTCATCTTATTTTCTCCCATTTTTATGCACAAATTTTGTTTATGGACACAGGAACTGATTAATGTTTATAGATGGTCAGGTGTAACATAAAAATGTGTAAGGCATGTGTCTCGCCTGGGATTGCTGCTGTCAGTGTAAAAGCGGAATTTAAGAAAAAAACAAAACTTTTTATTCCGATGCTTTTTATGAAATTGAACAATTAGCTGATATCCAAGTGTCATAACAATCTATGAAGGTATAAAGATTTAACATGTCACAAAAATTAAATCCAGTCTGTTAATTGCAAAAAAATAAATATAAAATAATCCGTCTGTCAGTTAAATACAGAAAAATGAAGAAAAAAATGTACTTTCAAATTTTGCTTCAGACATTATCTCTTAATCATAAAAAAGCTTCTGCCAAATTGTCATAAAATTCGATGAAGGTTTGACAAAGTAATTGATGTTTAACAAACTTTAACCTAAGACTATCTTACTGTATCTACTTATTAACTGCAAAAAAAAGTCCTTTTATCAGTCAAATACGGAAAAAATATATTTTTATTATGCTCTGGATACTATCTTTTGGTCATTAGAAAGCTTCTGTCCAAATTTCATTACATTCCATGAAGGTTTGACAAAGTTATTAAATGCTTGAACAAACTTTAACCATGCACACACCAAACCTAAGTGTTGAAGACGCCGACGGAATCTAAGATCGGTATGTGTCGCTTTTGCGACATAAAGGTCACAGGCTCGATATTCACACTTTGACAGAAAATGAACAAATGTTTAAATAATATGATACCATTTGATTAAAAGTAAATTTCGTCACTTTTTTCTTCAATTACAAGTCATAGAGGAAAGAATTAAAAGGCTTTTAACCAGATCTTTTATTTTATTTAGATTAAATATTTTTTCTCTAAAATTTATGTGTACGCCCGGGCGTTTTGACGTAAACGTAGCTACGCGCCTGACTGGTGAGTCTTTTGTAGACGAAACGGACGTCTGGAGTACAAAATAATAAACCTTGTATCTTTGATGAGATTTTATTTAAACCATACATAGGAAATAATGTGAAACACGAATGTGTATTTTACAGATAAGGCAAAGAAAATGCATAATGATGTATCTAGATATAAGAGGATGTGGTATGAGTGCCAATGAGACAACTCTCCATCCAAGTCAAAATTTATAAAAGTAAACCATTATAGGTCAAAGTACGGTCTTCAACACGGAGCCTTGGCTCACACCGAACAGCAAGCTATAAAGGGCCCCAAAAATTACTAGACAGTGTAAAACCATTCAAACCGGAAATCCAACGGTCTAATCTATATAAAAAACGAGAAACGAGAAACACTTATGAACCACATCAACAAACGACAACTACTGATCTGTTTTGAATAAAAGCACTTATCTAATAGCGGGCATCCGACGAGATCCTGTAGCAATGTATTCATCGTGCGGGTTTGGAATACATGTATTTATCCGGATTCTGATCGTCCGTATATAGTGTCTGCTCCTCTACATTAAGTGTTCCAGATTTCATAGCTCATTCAAGCCAATAGAATCTAAGTCACATCATAGGGCAACCATTCAGAATTTGTTTTTGTTTAGCAATAATTTCAAGATTACGTGTATATCGTCTGAAACTAATAGCTTCGTGCCGTGATGCGAATAAAGCAAAAACACACTTCTGATTTACAGAGTTATGTCCGATAACCGAGGTCTAACCTCTTAAAACGTTGAAACTGTTCCTTTTTTATGCAGACAATTGACTCTATTTTACATGTTGTTTTTGTATGAAACAGTTGCTAAGACATACATTTAACCTGACAATTAAACAATACGCGAGAAATATACAAGTTTGAAATATATTTTTTTTACTATTATGAATGCGATGTCAGAATCAAAAATGCATATTAAAAGCAATTATATAAAATCAAATCTAATACCATAAATCTTGAATGGTGACCTTCCAATATTAATTTGTGAACAGGATGATATTTTCTGGACGCCTTTGCACGTTTTATAAGCCGAGTACTGACAGATCTACAATGTTGTCTGGTCCTCAGAGTATCAATGATTAAAGACTATATGACAGAGTGATATAGTTAGCAATGACAGATAACATGATTCATACGTCAGAAAATTCCCATTTTTGTAGGATGATCTTTTTTGTCAATTAGTAACAATTGATATTGCGATTGCTGACTCGCAAATTCTCGCGAGAATTGCTTAAATTCATATTGCTATGTTCATCTGTGTTTGTGACTAGATTAATTCTGTTGATTGCTTTAATATTCCGATAGTAAGAAGCTGTTTGTAACATTTGTCTCATGGTTAGGGCTAAATAATATCTTGCTGTGGTGTTTACAAAAGAATAAACAATTAATAGATATAACATAATATGAATAATGAAAGAAGTATTATTTCAAGCCATTTTTAGAGAATCAAATTAAAAAACACAATAATTTTCTCTCTTGACGTTTATAACTCATCAACTGTACATGGATTAATTACAGTCTATTTGAACAAATTATTTTGCTACTGGTCAATTTGAACAGATTTGTATTCCTAATTTCGTCGTTATATTGTCTACGTTTACAGATTCGACACAGGAGTCTAATGATTTTTTTTAAGAATCAATAACAGCATTTTTGCAGAAGCGTCCAAAGGCGTTATAAAGCAACTTCTATTTAAACGTTTATAAGATCTTATAATTGTGTGGTTTGATTCAATGCAAACTCTCTGTGATACGTCAGGCGGAGACGTATATATTTTCCTACAGTTTAGAAGGACTTTCAGATTAGAATGTGTTGATATCAGTGCGCAATGAATTTCTCCGTGTCAGTAAGATACTGTTCAACAGCGGATGCATATTTGTTTTGTCATTAATCGAGTTTAGGTAAGAAACAATATGTTTTAGATAATCAATTATATTTTAATTGTGCCTTGTAACAAAAAGACCTAAGCTTATTTAGGAATGAAATATAATTATATTTTTCAAATTTTGAATGAACATGCAGTCAGTTGAACAATAATTCATTTGAAAATTAAAAATAACTATTTATCTGTTTCAATTGATGTTTTATGCTTTTTAAAAATCAGCTATTATTTGAAGTTTTATGTAAACACTTCTCGCATTTTCGGTTTTTGTTTGTGTTTTCTTTTTGTTTTAAAATATAACGAATATTTTTGTCTCACATTGGTAGAGTTTGTTTATATACCTCCAAGTTGGTAGTTGAGTTGTTTCTCTTCTTATTTTTATATAAAATCAGTGTATTGTTATACATAGTAAGTTTTCTAATTGATCGAAACTATTTTTGCATCAAATACAGTACAATTGGACTGATTGTTGTTTAACGTCCAGCGGAAAATATTACATGCATATTCAGAACGGGAAATTGTTACTGAATTTAAAAATTGAATCATTGTCGTTAATTTTATTGGGAGTTAAAGTGTTGTGTATGATTTTTTTTTCTTAATGCACACAAAAAAAAAATACAATGAAAGTATAAGTGGAAATAAAATCATGGAAGTGATAACCTCCATCTCAATTCGGCGAATTCAGAAAAGGACATGCATTATTTAAAAGATTTATCGCATTATGTTTTTATAACATTTGAGATACTCGTACTTATATATAACCATCAACAACAAAATGTTTAAATCCGACGGGTACACTGTGGTTTACAATTTTGGTCAGTCGATGCTAGTTGACAACAAATGTACGAGAGAGATAACGCACTACGTACTCTGGACTCTCCTTGAGAAATCAGTTGGTGGCATGTTGGAAAGCAAAGTTTTTATTCCATCGGCTGTTCAAATTTCCAACCTTTCGTTGATCTACTGTTGAACCTACATGTACCTTTTGTATGCATCGTTAAACTGTTCTCGTGCCGAATATGTTTGAAAAGTTGCCCCCCCCCCCCCCCTTGAACTGCGATTAAGGAACACTCAATCAATCATTATATGATTTGGCCTGTGATCCTATTTTAATTCAAGCTATGAAAGTTTACTATTTTAAATTTTAAAATGTCGTTTGTATTTTTTGAAATAGACAAGAGAATAAGAACACAAAAACCCATCACATTGGTCAACGTTTTCATGGTTTTAGATTTGTTTATGATTTAACTACTTTACAATGATTTTGCTAATACTAAAGAGATATGGGTAAATTCCTCTGAAATCAATTTAATCACAGAATCGAATTTTTTAAAATTAATGAAATCTAGTAGAATTTCAATATTTTAGCATTATTATAATCAATAGTACACAGGCAAATTTTGCTCACGTGATTTAACATGAATCTCATGTTTCACGTGAAATTCACCGTAAACTATCTCATATGTGCATTTTTCACGTGACTTAATTGAGATTCACGTGAACTTTACAAAAAAAATGTATTTTTCATGATTTTAATTAAATTTGAAAATTTAGATGTTATTTGTATAACTTTATTTTGGATTTACGTGAATATCATGTGGAAAAAATTCAGGTGATCTTCATAAGATACAAAATCTATGTTCGTTCCTCAGTCGGGCAAATTGACCTTTAAATGTATTTTTTTTTTTACTTTTCCTGTGACGTTTTGCACATTTGTTTGGTTATATCCATTCGGATTAGCGAGTTTATGTTAAAAAAGCACCAATCAATAATAAAACCAATCGTAAGTACGACTATTTGTTGTAAAAACGTTCCGATCTTTTGAGTTAAACCGATGTTTATAATTTGTTCTTATATTGTGCTGTTACACCATTAACCCAGGAAAGGATTTAGCGCTTAGAAACATGTTTAAACCTGCCGCATACTTTATGTGCCTGTCCCAAGTTAGGAGCCTGTGGTTCAGTGGTTGTCGCTGGTTCATGTCTGTCATATTTCTTTTTCGTATATTGTTTTATTTATAAATCATGCCGTTAGTTTTCTCAATTGAATTGGTTCTCACTTTTCATATCAGGGCGTTTTAAAGCCGACTATATATAATGGTATGAGTTTTCTCATTGTGTATAGGCCGTACGGTTGCTTATAATCGCTAACAACCACTTCATTTGAACTTTGGGATAGTTGTCTCATTGGCAATCATACCACATTCCATGTTTTATATCAACGTACTCACTTAAATCAAAGCTGTAATGCTGTTTTAATTTCAAAAATGGTTGTTAGATTTTATTAGCCTTAAAATGTATATTTTTCGGGGTGAGGGTGAGTGGGGAACTGGGGGTTATGATGAGGGTTAATCCAGAAAAGCGATTCTGACGCACGACGTTTATAAAGGTTCTATTTTATAACGCTCTACATTCTAAAACCAGTTTGCTGTTTCAATTTTAATTTCAAACATTCTTGGTAAAGAAAAATTTTGAAATGCTACACGCGATAAGGGAACCTTTTTGTGTCATTTCTCATTTTAAGCGTTTATGTATCCTGGTATTTTTTACATTTTGTTCCGTCAATCAAACGAGAGAAAAAAAAAGGAATTATAGTTCACCGCATTTGCTCTTTATGGTCATTCATTATTTTTTAGTTTTTACGTCGCATGGGATAAAACAACGGAACGAAAATGAGGACCAAATGCAGGAAGTTTTTTTTTACATTTTATACCCGTTAAAAATAAATGTTGATCAATACTGAATGTTCAGAAGTATTGAAACATATGAGAAAAAAGAAATAAAAGGAAACATCCAAAACTGTAAATTTAAAAAGAGACCGATAGAAATAGCTATGAAAAAAAAAAAGAAATTTGCACTTTTGTACACTATAATTGATTGCATTTAAATGAAATAAACTAAATATTTAATGTCAGTTCTATATATAACTTTGATTGTCGTGCATAACTAATGTGAATATAATAGAATTTCGTAATGAAATTTAAACCAAAGTATTAAATTGGCATGTTATGATTCTTCGCGAGTAGATATACATGTTGGGTGGGCTCGGAGTAAGGATAATTTGTCTAACTGAATTAAAATGTCTTCATATATACGGTTGAGTCCGCATGTGACAAAATTAATACTTAGAATCAGCATTTCGGTCTAGTCCAATTGTGATCCTAAATATGCAAGTTTGTACTATTTGCTGCAGGACACTTTTATCTATGTGCATTTCTACTTTGAAAAGATACATTTTTAGAACATACATCATGAACTAAGTACAGCTATTTGTAAAGACCAGGCAGGGTTTATTATAACGGCGACACATGGTTAAAAAACGGCAGATATTTTATCCACTCATTTCGTTATTCTATTTATAAATTATATTATATATTATATAGTAATTTCAAGAGTTATTTCCTTTGTTATATATTTAGTATAACTGATATCTCGTATGACAAGATATTTAAAAAAAAAAAACACAATGGTATATTTGTTTTATTTGTGTTCCTATAGCATTCTAAAACTGTTATTGAATGGAGGAGAGCAACAACAAAGGGGACGTTTAAATCTCATAAGTCGAAGAGAAACTGACAACACTATGGCAAAACACATACATTATACGCATGCTCCGGAAAGTTAAGCAGATCTTGCAGCACATGTGACACCCGTTTTGTTGCTCATTTTAAGTAAAAATACAGTGATAATTCTCATTATAACAATACTGATTTTACATCAAATGTATCACCCCTAGTCGACTCTTATTAATAAATGTAATTAAATGGTAGTTACACTTTGCTATTTTCGTTATATTTCTCCATATATAATCATTACTTTTAATCTAACTACGTTTATCCTAAATTGGTATGATGCTTCACTGACAAGTAAATACTTAAGCCACAAATTCTATGACAGATAATATCACGATATTATCAATGTAATTAAACAGCAAAACTAATTTATAACAACCGGTATCAATAGGAATACAGCTTCAATTTTATTATTCAATCGAAGCCATGTCTGCAACGGACAGAAACGTTATCGTATTGTACATGCAATAAACATTAATGAACTTCAGAACAAATGGATGTGTACATAAGGTAACAATAATTATTTATTAATTAAATGTATTACTTCATATGTATCGTATTTGATAGTGAAATAATATCGTTTATGATATGAAAATGGCGAATCTTCGTGTACATGTATCATGTGCATTCCCAATTACACTTTGTTTATAATGTACATTCAAATATTGGGAATTATTGGCAATGTATATGATTTAAATGGTTATTATATATACATACATCTATTGTATTATACATCAACACAAATTGAAAGCTTCAATGGTTAAAACTTGTGTTGTTTTTGTGTCTAACCCAATGTGAACGCTCCTTTTTTAAATATTTTTTTCTTGTGACGATAAGAAAATAGGGACAGTTTATCATCTCTTTATACGCACGGACAAGATTGAAATATTCATCTATTATAATTTAAACTTACATTCTAATATACCGCGATTATAGGATGATCCAGCTGCGTAAAAGTTAACGTGGAAGGCCATTTACCAAAACTTTGCAGTAATGTAAGAATTAATTCAAACAGGTTACAATCCACAACTTCTAGCACTGGACATGCTTCCACGATTCCTCGTATAACGAGGGGTCAAGTGATGGTGTGTTGAACTCCATTAAAAAAACTTTGAACATTTTCATACTAAATTACGAATACACGAAAACTTTATTTAGATTCGGTATACATTTTAGTACATGTGTAGTTACACACTACAAAACATATTAAGCTCTTTAGAGCGCTTACCCGAACAAACTAAGTAATGTATACACAGGAAATAAATGGAACACCAGACATATTGGTTGATTGATTGTTGTTTGCTTTACGTCCAGTGGCAAATATTTCATGAATATTCGGAAAGAAAACAAATGATTGATACAAACAAACTGGGTCGACCGGGATGATAGGCAGGAATTTTGGAATTCCACTAGAAAACGAGGATAATTATATTGGATAGAGACAGAAT